TGCGTCCATATTGCAAAAAAGGGAAAATAATAATAAGCAGTTGTATCCCTAGTCAGGGAATTTCAGAAAACACTAATGTTGCTATTTATGAGCAAATTATAGATGTATATTCTCTTTAACATATATCATGTGGCTTCCCCTCCTGGTAATGTGAAATGTTTCAGTTTGTGTACTGATTAGTTTTCTTGGCTACATTTAGATAGTATTGATCTACGAAAGCAAAGACTTTTGCAAATTACAGTCATAAAATACAATGAAGGAGAATACTATCTTACAACTGGGAGATTTAAGCAGAGAACCTTTACAATAGACACTAATTAGATCAAGAAGAGTGTGAAACATGAGCTGAGTTCTCGGAGTAGGATTTTGAAAGCTTCAGTAACCATTGCAGCAGTGAAGTGCCAATAGTTGGCCACTATTTTAGAGTATTTAGCAACCTGGAGGAGTTAATGCGGGATCCAAACTTGTCTGGCGTTCTCTCATGATTAGCTTCCTGAATTACGCATTCAAAACAGCACACAGAAAGTTTGAAAGTGAAAAATGCATCTTATGTGCATTCACAGGAGAAGCCACTTTTGTTCTTTTTACTTCACCCAGTTTACCTTTCTAGAACTAAACCTAATGATTAGACTTCATTATTTTAGCATTATCTCTGATCTCTTGGTGAACAACTTGATTTTTAAGTGATTTATGACTTATATTAATGCGAACTATGTTTTAATCAATTTTCAGGTTTTTTTTTTTCTTTTAACCTTGAAAGAATTCCAGGAAAATTTGATTTTAAATGTACTCATAAGGATAAAAATGAAATTCAGAATCAGCTATTTTATAGATTTTAATATTCACACCTTGTATAGTTTTTTAGTCTTAAGAATATAATTTAATTTTTTTTAATAAGACCTTGGGCAAGAGGTTGCAAAGCAAGAAACTGCTGTTCATTAAAAAGCCACTCTAAACTTCTGAACTAGATTATAAATATCATTGGATTTTCTTTGGTAAATCAGTTTACAAACCTAGATATGCTAGGTTTATTTAAAAAAAAAGATTGTTTTCTCCAAACTTTTTTTAAAATTAGGTCTATAACAGGTTAAGTTTATAAAGTAAATTAATGCCAAATGGCCTCACAGTGTTTTGTCAATGTGGTTATTGATTTTTAAATAAAATTTGGCATTAACATAATTCATCTAATGACATCTACCTTTAATGCTTATAATATATTTTAAAATTTTTGTTTAGAGATTTAAAACTCCTCCTAGTTGGCTTTAAACTTGGGGTGATAATGTTTTCAACAAATTTTGAATACATTATGAATTTTTTTCTTGATCATATTTAAATATTCCATTTGTATTTTTGAACATAGTCAAAAGTGAGGGAAGAAAATTTTGTAATTCACAGGACATCAATTAGATTACTAAGAAGCGTCTTAGCTTAATAGTGGGGGGAAATTAAAGCTAGAAAAAAATGCTGCTTTAGCCCCACTTAACAAATCTTAAAATCAAGACCCAAAAGCCTCTATTGTCTGCAGCTTGAAATAGTCCGTATGCCAGAGTGGCGCATCTTGGGGCAGCCTACCCTGAACCCCATCAGTATGTAGCCAGTGAAACAATGTTTATGAAAAGTTTATCCAAAAGGAAAGATTTATGTTATACTATATATTGAGATAAAGTAGGTTTACATAGAACTTTTATTTCTTAACTTACTAACATATGAAACTGATTTCAATATATATCTTATCTCAACTATAAAGTGTGTTAAAAATTTATTATTAATACATTAAACAAGTATACAGTATAATGAATGCCAACCTAGCATCATGCACTGTATTCTACACATGGGCATAGTGAACAGAGCAGTAGTATCTGCTTATTTTCTAGTGTGGAAGTAAGATCAGTTTTACAAAGAAGAGGAGTAGATTCCATAGGATCAAATAAATAGGCTAAAGATTGGTGTTTGGAAAGTGAAATTATGGTTTTTTATTTATATTATGAGAACAGCTTATCTGATAGTTGTTGACATTTATATCTATGCAAAAAATATCCTTCTGGAGCCAGCCCTGATGGCCTAGCAGTTAAAGTTTGGTGTGCTCTGCTTTGGCGGCCTGGGTTCATTTCCCAGGTGCTGAACCACACCCCTTATCTGTCAGTAGTCATGCTGTGGTGGTGGCTCACAGAGAAGAATCAGAAGAACTTAGAACTATACAGCTTTGGGGTGAAAAAAGGAAGGAAAAAAAAGCAGACAGATTGGCAACAGATGTTACCTTAGGGTGAGTCTTCCCCTGCCAAAAAAAAAATAAAAATCCTTCTGGTGTTTTAGAGTCATAGAATTGTAGTATCCATTTTATACTCTACTTATGTATCCTGCTGAACTTTATATAATTATGCTACAGTTTTTTCTTCTCATCTTTATGTTCTCAAAGAGTTCTTATATTCTTACTTTGAAAGACACTATTACTTAATTTTATGAAATTGAAAACAATATGGTATTACACTCCTTCTTTGTGTTTCACAATCTGCTATTGTTGAAAATGTCTACCTGATAGTGATGAAATTTGGGTAGTGAAGAGGCATACTGAATTCGATCTGCTTACTAGTAGACTTGGTGGTCAGTTTGGTTAGTTTCTTTTCCCGGAGAAGTTGAATCTTACTTCTGGATACATCATGTTTCTTTTCTGCTAGTCGTTGTTGATCTTATTCCTCCAGGATATGATCAGTCAATAACCATATCTATTAGGTTCTAGGTGAAAAGTAACTTTTGGGAAGATAACGGTATATATTTTGTCCTTACTCTATTCCCTTGCATCTTGCAGAGAACCTGGCACTGGTGATCAATAAATAATTTCTGAATGAATGACTAAATTAATTGTAGAAAATAAAGTCATTTCAATCATTACTTCTATAATAATATCTTTCATATTATAGAAAACAAACTATATTATATTGTTAATACATGACATAATTACTTTGGTATTTTAATTCTTAAAATATGTTCTCTACCTATCGTATTAATGGCATATCATAAGAAGATGAATAAAATATGAGGTGAGAAGATGAATAAAGTATGAGGTGAAAAAGTGACATTATTGTGTCATTATCTAAGTCTATAAAGTAGTACCTAGTAATAATATTTTATAATTCAGTTAACTGTTTTATTCTTTAAGAGTAGAAATGCAGGGACAGAGATACCAGTAATTTCACTGCAATAATGACTTTATGATAAAGATTAATCTCACTGCTGTGTTTTCATTGCTTTGTAGATTTACGGAGAATGTTATGGACTGAATGTTTGTGTCCCCTCAAAGTTCTTATGTTGAAATCCTAACCCCCCAAAGTGGTATTTGGAGATGGGGCATTTTGGAGGTAATTAGGTTTAGAGGAGGTTATGGATGTGGGCACTCCTTCGTGGGATTAGTGTCCATATAAAAAGAAGAGACAAACGTGCCCCCTCTCTGCTAAGTGAGGACATGGCCAGAAGGTGGCTATTTACAAGCTAGGAAGAGGGCCCCCACTAGAATCTGACCATGCTAGCCCTCTGATCTCACACTTCTAGCCTCCAGAACTGTGAGTTATAAATGTCTGTTGTTAAGCCACCCTGTCTCTGGTATTTTGTTATGGCAGTCCAAGCAAATTAAGGCTGAAATTGATACTGAGAAGTAGGGTGCTGCTGTACCAAATACCTAAAAATGCAGAAGTGGCTTTGGGACTCGGTAATGGGGAGAAACTGGAAGAATTTTGAGGTGCCTGTTAAAAGAAGCTGAGATTGCTGTGAAGGTACTGCTAAAGGCAATTCTGGTGAGAGTTCAGAAAGGAAAGAGGAGAGATGGAGGGAAAGCTGCCATCTTCTTAGAGAATACAGGAATAATCATGAACAGAATGTTGGTAGATATGTGGATGGTAAAGGCCATTCTGATGAGGTCTCAGGTAGAAATGTAGAACATGTTATTGGACAATGGAGGAGAAGTGATTCTTGTTATAAAGTGGCAAAGAACTTGGCTGAATTGTATTTGTATCCTGGTGTTTTCTGGAGGGTAGAACTTGTGATCGATGAAACTGGATATTTAGCTGAGGAGATTCCTAAGCCAAGTTTTGAAGGAGTAATTTGGTTCCTTCTAAGTGATTGTAATAAAATGAGGAGGAAATGAATTGAAGGAGGAATTGTTAAGCAAAAAGGACACAGTACTTAAAGATTTGGAAAATTTTCAGCCTGTGCATATAGCAGAGAACACTAAGGAGGTGGCCAAATAACCCTTTGACAAGGAGATTAGTATGAGTGTGAACCACAGACCTAATCAGCTATGCTAGTGGAAACATTGCCAGTTTGAACTGAAGAGGACAGAGGCCGGATGAAATGAAGGAAAGCTGTTAGACTTCTCAGATTCCAGTGGAACAGGATCATAAAGCTATTTGGCTGCAAACACACACTTTTTTTATTAAAGACGAGGGATGAATGATCCCGAGGGTAATTCAGAGATCATTAGGGCTGCCTCCTTGTTTTCAAAGTGGGGTGCCATCACCTTGGTTTCAGTGGACCAGGCAGCCTCTGCCCAGAGTATCGTGGGGCACAGGGCCGCCTGGCAGAGCCCAGTGGGGAAGTACGACCCTCACTTGTCATAATCAAAAAGACTTCTGTTTATCTACTACTGTTGTTAATGATAACCCAAAACTTTATCACCCCTCTTACCAACAAACTCAAGGAAAAATATTAATCTTCTATCTCCTTAAGTTTGCAGATAAATATAATTAATGATAGATGTGTAATAGGAAAAAGATAAGAAAATTAAGGAAGTTTGGAGGAATTGCATTTGAGATATTGTTCTTATCGCTGTGCCACTGATAATATTGAGTATTTATGTTTATTCTTACTCAGCATCCTTTGGGACATTTCAGAATATTGTTTGTAAATAGTAAAAAGTTTAAAAAGACTTTGTGATTAAAATTCATTTGCATAAAAGAGATTGGTCAGTATTCTTTCACTTATGCTTTAATATTTTGTTGTTTTTATAGGATATAAAGTGTGATTGAACCAAACATTTATTTGGCTAATCCTCATCATGAACCGTGCTTTTAGGAAGAAAGGTAAGTGTGCCATTTGAAGGACCTGGGAGTCAATTCAATATTACTGTGAAAATCAAGCAGAAATGTTAAGAAATCAGTTCTTCCTATTATCAAACCACCTGGCACAGGAATGAAGTTATAATAGAGCAACACAAATCTGCAAACATTGCTAATTAAGCTTATTTGATGTCATCCTAATGAAAGAGTGAAGCTGTTTAATACGTGTAGTTCTGAATACGTGTTTCTGTGGTGTGAAAATGCAAAAAAGAAGGTCATCTGAAAATAGTCCTAACCTCACCTCATGTAGCCATATAATACGAAATTTCCTGGGCTGCGTAAGGTTACCATAATTTAAATTCACTCGTGTGTATGTGTATGTGTGTGTGCTTCACTTTTTATTGAATAATATGTGAGGACTGATGATAGGGGAATTGATGGCAATGAGGCCAAAATAAGTTTGTTATTACTTTTAAGGCAGGAATTTAAAGTAAATATAAGTATAATATATCATAATTATCAGTATAGGAATGAAAGAAACATCTAGTTACACGTTATTTTTTTAAGGGACAGGAAAACATGGTATTTGACAAAATATTTCATGATACACTCATAGGAAAGATAGAAAAACTTGATAGTTTTATCTAGTCCCATGAAGTTAAAATAATGTAAACTTGTCTTTCTGGAAGGAATTCTCTAGTGGTGGGCACAGGGCTCTCTCCTGTTTAACATGTTGTCAATGAATTGGGAGAGAATACTCAATACTGCTCAAGTTCATAGGTGATTGAAAAAAGAAAGAGATAACTGATGTGGTAGGATTACAGATAAGTGGGGGGGAAATGACCAGTTAGGTCATATTCCACACTATAAACTTAATAAGATATTGTAAATTGCCAAAAAGAGGTCCAGAAAATCTAACACTTTTATTGTTATTTATATACTGTTATTATTTGGAAGATGTACCTTAAGTGCTGTGTAGGTAAAAAATGGCTGAAGAATAAAGTCAACAGTGTGATTATCAAAGGTTCCAATTAGTTTTCTAATGTATGAGTAAGGACCAGTCTTGAATCAGTGAATAGAATGTTCTCTTCTATTTTATGTAGTCAGGCACAGTGTGTTCTTTCTTTAAAGGATTAGTTGACAGATTGTAACATGCCTGGTTGAGAAAGGCTGGGATGACTTCAGGACTTTCAACCATGCAAAAGCAAGCATGGTGAAGACCCCTTGGTAGGGTAATGAGAGTGGTCTTTCAGTGTTTGAAGGGCTGTCATTTGGTCATGGGACTAAGTTTAATAAAGGACGAATAAGTGTAAATTGCAAAGTCACTGATTTCACGTAGGAAAAGAATTCCAACAAAGTTGTACAAAGATATAGTGGAGTTACTCAAGGTATTAACTTTTTGTTACTGAAGTGAGACACGTTCAAACATTCGGATGTGGTACAGAGAATTGATGTATTCAGTGGGGATTTAAGTAATATGAACGTTCAGGTACTTTTCAACCCTGGGAAGCTAGGAATTTATTATTTTACTTATTTTTTCTGAATAAAGGGAAGGCAAAATGACATTTATTGCAGTCTGTAGCTTGCTTCTGATTTAAAACAAATACCAAAAGTAAAATAATGTTTCTTTTTCATCCCTTTTACTAGTAAAAAAATATAGAAATAATTCTGTGGTATATAGAAGTATTTTTAAAAAAGTAATAAAAACCGTAGATCACAACTCGTCACTTTAATCACACTGTCTTATTTTTTTAAAAACACTCCTTGACCTCTTTTTTTATTTGCTTACAATTCCCTTTCCCCTGGTTTTAAAGCTGAAACTCCACATTTCTAATTTATTCTTTATTTGAAGAGGATTTGGAGTTTTTATTGAGAAATCACAAGGGTTGGATAGTAATACAAGTAACTAGCAATTTTATATGTGTCTCATTTGAGGATAGTGGGAGTACAGCCATGGGGAAAATTGGAGTGATTTAGAGAATCAAGAAGCAGAAGCATTTATTTCCTGCTTTGTTTCATTCTCTTTAAATTTCTTTTGATGTCTTTTGCTTTTCAAGTCTAATGATTAAGTATCTTTATCAGGAAATTTGTGATCAATATTTTTCTCTGATTTCAAGTTAGAACCTGCTACTGGAAGTTGTACCTTGAGTTCACCAATCACTTCATACTCCCTCAAGTTGTTAAAGCAAGAATTCTTAGCAACTCTGCTCCTAGTTTCAACCAGTGGCACTATTTGGTTAAATTTTAACTGAAGATGGAAAACTTGAATTTTCTGAGATAATTCATATATCCTGACAATCAGGAACTGTAGTTACTGTAATTATAGCCCTAGAGAATATATAATTCAAGTCATCTCTCCAATAACTAGCATCAACATACACTGTACTGTACTCTACACAAGGCAGGGTGGCCTTCCATCAGTAGAAGCTTCTCTCTTATTTCATAGATATCCGATTTACTTGGTTATCACACGCAACCTTACCAAATCATCCTGGGCCTCAGACAACTAAGGAAAAGAGACCATTATCTTAAACCTAAACATAATTTTTTTCTCTTTTTATTAGATCTCCCAGTTAGTAGTTTGTCTGGTATTCTTTGATTGAATTAGCCAGTTACTTCACTGATTGGTTTTGCAAATGCTCTAATGGTATTAGAGTTGCTCACGGATTCTAAAAAAGACTGAATATATTAGACTTACATCATCTTGGAGTATTTTGAAGAGCTCTGTAAAAATTAGTCTAACCTCTTAATCATAGATTCAATTTTAACAAATGTATTTGTTTTATAGCTTCTTTTCCTGTGTTAGCTTTCTCTTTGAATTTTTAAAATCCTGTATTCTATTTGTTACATCAAAATGAATCATTTAGTAAAACAAAAAACATAGCATGTGAATAAATGTGATTAAATAATCCACCTAATTATACATTATGTTCTTTAACTTATCAGTTGACATACTGAGGAGTAGATATAATCGTAGTGCATAGCACTTAAAATTCATATTTAAATATTATTTATCTTCTATGAAAATTTTATTCAAATGAATCCATTCATCCAACAACATTTAGTTTTAAATTTAATATACTCAAAGTAGGTGCTTTCACTATGTTTAGCTCTGGTGATACAAGAATGATGAAGTTACTGCGTCTTTCTTGTTGAGCTCTTAATCTAAATGCATTTTGAACCCCTAGGTTTATTGACTCAGGAGTCAGAGTGTTTGACACTGTCAAGTATTTTGACATTTCCTTTCACATGAATGTTCACTATTGAGTTAGTGATTATAGATTAATTTCAAGGAAGGGGACACATTTTAGAGTGTCTATGTTCCCATTTCTGTACCAATTCCATATATCTAATATCTTCTTTGGGCAAATAAAGTGACCAGGGACCATGATCTGTACTCATTCTTCAAGGTCAACCACATATATGAGTTAATATAAAGAGTTTTATTCCGCCATTTTTTTTCTTTTGAGGAAGTATAAGTTATGATGACAGTAAGGAGTCATTCTGGAAATCTTTCGGCTTTTATAACTATGCTACCTACGTTAGAGATACTTGATGAACAACCACCAAACCGTCAGCGCTTGATGTATGGATGTCGGTTTTTTTGTCATTATAGCAACTGCATCTTATCCACTAGTAATTTAACCCTGTAGTTATTTTAGTCTATCACCAGTAACAGCTGGATATACCTACCCTCTCTCTAGGTCACTGTAGTATGAGACTATAACAAAGGCAATATCATCAGTTTTCAAATAATGGTGGCTTACAGGAGAAAGTAATTATCTCTCTGCCTCAGGATTGGAATGAAACATTGTATTCAGACTTTAGTCAGGCTTTACATCCTCCGAAACAGTGTTGTATGTTTTGGAAAAGGAGATGTGAGAATTGAATTAAGGGGTAAAAAAGGAAATTGGATGTCTTTTTAGATTTCCTGAAGGCAGGTCTTTGGTGCTTTTATTGTTTTGGTATATAGTATTGTGATTTATTTCTTTTAATATACAAGGGCAAGACTATGTACCAAATCTAGGTACAAATTATTCTTGAATTAATCCTATCCCTATCCAGTAGTAATCATGAAGAGAAAGCTATAATTAAATTGAAAATCCATACAAGAAATAAAAGTTTTACATGTTAATGTCAATGTCAATATGTTAAAATTGCTTTTCGAAGCTTAGAATGTATTACTTCTCAAATATTTCATCCAAATACAGCTATCACATGTACACTTCGGTCGTCAAAAATAGCCCTAGTGTGCACCATAGGCCTGGATTTCATTGATCCTTCATGTTTCATCTTAGAAATTCTTGTGAATATTTCAGTGTAGCCTGTAAACATGTTTGACATAAATATAATGCATTATTCTTCAAATGGTATAGAATAATTGATGCTCCAAAAATATATGCCATTTTCTCTCTGTCTTCGCGTTTCCTCAGTTTGAGAACTTATTAATGATATCAAACTAATTTCTGTTAACCCCAGTTTTAAATATTCTGAATTGAATGTTGAAGATACTTTGTTAGTTTTCTTATATTTCATTTCAGTATGTACTTATTTAACATTTTTCATGGTAAAATGTTTCTTTGATTCTATTCTGTTTATAATATTGACTCTAAATTTTAAAATTCCTGTGAGGAATAGACACTCACAAAACTCCACTAAAGGAGATATAACATACTTGAAGATTGAGAAGGTTTGCTACAAACTAATGCAGTTTCAAAAAAACAGCCACATTTGATTTGTGTAAACATTAGTATTTTTTACCTTTTTCCTGCTTGTACATTCCATAAAATATTTTGGAAGATGTGTGGAATATCTAAATAAAGTTCAAAAATTGAATGAAAAATATATTTTCTATTTCTATCAATAATATACAATACAAATTAGTTTCCATATCTTCTATCAATCATTTTAGTTACTTTAATTTCTAATATTCTATTACACCAATCTAAGGAACGTTTCAAATTACTGCATTTAAGTTATTGATATCCAAAACTCCTGATAGTAGACTCTCAATCAATATTTCTCTAAATTTAGACTAAAAAATTATCCTAATATTATATTGATTTCTAAATGAACTTAGTAGATTGATTTATTTCAGCTTTAAATAAATGCAGTTGTTAGTTTAATGTTAAAATTTCCGTTTACTAAATCGTTAATTGTTAATGCTAAAAAATAATAATCACGATGAATAAAGAGCAGGTTACTTTTTATTGATCAGGGAATTAAGAAAAATAACCTGTAATTCATGAGAGTATACAATGAAAGGAGAAAGAGATCACACAATTAATCACATAATTGATGTAATTATTCATGGCCCAACTGATGGTATTGTTTTATATTCTTTAAAACTCAGGATCATTTTATTATTTGAAAACTTTTAAAAGGAAAAGCTAGGGACTTTTATACCAACGAAAGAATCCTGTAATCACTTTCCAGCTTCATCGTTCTTATATCTTACTAGTTATTCTTTCTCAATTTAACAAAAGGATCTCAGAATTAGAGATGCTTCCAGCCTTATCAGAGTCCTTACAGATGCTAATGAATGAATATGACACCTTTTGAACCTGTAATATAATTTAACACTGTGTATTCTTCATTGCAGACAAAACTTGGATGCATACGCCTGAAGCTTTATCAAAACATTACATTCCCTATAATGCAAAGGTAAAATGGTTCCTATGATATTATTGAATTTTATTTTGTTATAGTATTATTACTAAGTCATGGTTGATCTTAGAAAGATTGCTTATGTATTGGCATTTCCTAGTAGATGATCTCTGAAAAAATTTGCATAAATAAAATAATTTTATAGTGTACAGCATGGGAAGTTATTTTTCTGTCCAAATAAGTGATTTTTTTTTTTTTTTTTTTTACAAAAAGGAGTATCCTTGATAATTTCTGTTTAAGTCATGCATGAATTTTCTTCAAATGATTTTGGCTATTGTTAAAATTTTTTGCAGTACATGGCTTGTAGAAAATTAAAAAACTCAACAAATCCACTTCCTTTAAAACATTTTACTGTTGCATTATGCAGACAAATATAAAAGCTAACCTGGAAATAAGAGAAATGAGCTACAATTTTAATGAATGTAATGAGCATCAAAAAAGAGACAAACAAAACTTAAACTATTAAGAAAACACAGAAAAAAGCTCAAGCGTATATATTTTTGTGAACCCTTTGTTCAGTTTGCTGTATTCTAATAGAGAAATAGAAACAATCTGTACTCCATGTCGGCAGAAATTTGATTCATTGTTGTAAAACTGGGCAAATAAATGAATGCAATTTATAGAAAAGTCTTTAAAGAAAGGTATTATTTTATAATTAGCACCAAACCTGAAATAGATTTCGGAGAAATCTGAGTCTAAATTTAGAAGAGACAGAAATGAATTAAAGAGTTAAGTTTGGGAATACGAGAATGGGTGAGAAGTAAGCAACTGACCTTTGGGGACTGCACAGGGAAAACAGAAAGTGATAAAATTATTTTTAGAAGAGAACTTGAGGGTTTATGGATTACTAAACTATATACTGGGATATAATGAGATTAGGTCTGAGGAATTATTTCAGGAAAATGAAGAGAATATATTTATTGAACCAAAAGTCAATATGGTTTAATAGGGAACCTCTGGAAGGCCGCTCTGAGTCTGAACCAGCAGGAAGCAGCGTTGGCAGGCGGTCAGGACGTTCTCCCAGAGCCGGTGCTCAGCAGTGAGATTTGTACAGGGCAGCGACTATATGTTAATTCTTGTTGACTTCGCAGAAAAGAAAATGCTCCAAAATGCTTTCTGTGGAAAACTGATGTACTTGAAATCACTACAATGCTTATGAATTTTTCTGTAGATTTAGCATAAGGATTGATTGCCGCAATTTAGCGTGAAAAGTTTCATTCACTCAATGGGAAAAGTTGAGTTAATATCTCTCTCTTCCACAGATTGTCTTCATATTAGCTATTGAGGAACTATATAGAAAAAATTTAATCTAGAAAACCACTATTACATTAAAGTACATGCTCAGTTTTTGATAATATTATCACTCATAGTGGAATTATATCCTTTAAGTGAAACCACCACAGATTATTTTTATATATGATTGAAATGTCTCATTTTGAAAAACTGGTTTATAAAGGGTTGAAAGATTCTAATTAGAACTACCTTTAACTTTAGCTCTGTGGGTTGTGTCAGTGGAGATCGGCTTGTCTATGCGCAAAAGTTTCCTGGGCTCATTCACGGGTGCAGAAGAACTCTAAGACATCCCACACGAAGTAAAGGGCAGAGAGACATCTTCCAGACAGGGGTCAGTAAGACATGGAAGAGCAGGCTGTTTAGTCTATTCTAAGATGGCCTCTTGAGTGACAGTGTATGTCATGTGTACCAAATTATGTTAAAATTAATTGAAGAACATTATTTTTTTCTGGATTCCCTTTGTTGTGGAACGTTTTAAATTGAACATTAATAGTTATTTTTGAAAATTTTCTATATCTCTTATTAGAGTACATGACTACCTTAGCACAACAGAAAAAAATACAGTCTCTAGAATTAGATTGCCTTGGTTTCTGTCTTGACCCCTAACATTGCTAGCTATGTGTCTTTGGGCAAATTACTTAACCTTTCTGTGTGTATGGTTATTGATCTGGAAATAGGGATAGCAGTGATTTCTCATTAGAGTTGCTATGGACATAAGGGTATTAGATAAGTATTAGAAGAGTATCTGGAATAAAATAACTACTCAATAAAGGTTAGCAATCATTAATTTATCTTTGTATTTATCACAGGACTTACCAAAGTGCCTCATAGTAAGTGTTCAGTATATATGTATTTGATGAATTAATGCATAATAACCTTTCCAAGGCAATTACAAAATCGTTACATTTCATTGAGCCCAAGTATATGCCAGCCACTGTGCTGGTGTGTTTTTACATGATCTCATTTAGTATTTCCCATGACCCAGTATGGTGATTATTAATCTTTACATAAGAGAAGGCTAAGGCTGAAAGATTAAGTAATTTGCTTATTATCACAAAGCTAGTAAGACAGAGCCAGACTAAAAAACTGAAGTCTATTTGACTCCAAAGGTTTGCTACTTTTGTGTATGTAATAACACTTGATTATTCATTCGTTCATTAAATTGCTATTATGTATAATGTGCTGTTGCTGAAACTTCACTGGATGTTGGTGAAGCTTCAGAGCTATATGACACATGGCTCATATTCTCATGGATCTTATTGTTATAGGGAGATATCATGCAAAAATAACTAACATAAAAGGCAGATCATGTTTTGTGCCATTCAAATGGCACTTAACAGAAAGCCATAGAGATTCAGAGAATAGAGTCTCTCCTGTTTTATGAAAGTGGGAGCAAGGTAGGATTTCCAAGGGTCAAAACCAGGGGTGGAATAACCAATTCAAGCTGAGACATCTGAAGGAGGATGAGGATTGTTAGTAAGGTCTAAGGCCCAAACCAAATGTGGCAGAAGTTGGGCTGGGCCATAAAATACTGATGATGGTAAAGAACTTTATCAGTCAGGATTCCATCTGAGAAACAGAACTAGTAGGATGTACATACACACACACATTTATTTCAAGGAATGGATTGCACAGTTGTTGGAGGGCTGACTAGGCAAGTCTGAAATCCGTATGGCAGGCCCTCAAGAAAGACAGGCTGGAAACCCTTGGGTGGGAGGTGACCATGGATGGAATTCCTTCTTCAGAGACACAGCAGTTCTGTCTCAGTTCTGTTCTTAATGCCTTCAGATTGGTTGTATCAAGCCCACCCAGATTATATGGGATGATCTCCTTTATGTAAAGTCAGCTGATTATAGATGTTAATCATATCTACAAAATAACTTCATGGCAACAACTAGGTTAGTATTTGATTGAATAACCAGATAGTGTAACCTGGCCAAGTTGACGCATGACACTGACCATCACAGGTACTAATGATGGACAAGGCCAAAAAGATAAATTGGGAAGGATTCGAATGGCAGGAGAGACAGTTTGAATAGTGAACTAATCAAATAGGATTTGGGGAAGATAAGTCTCTAGTGATCTGAAAGCTGATTTGGATCAACAGAGATAGGATGACATTAAATGTCTTAGGAAATTATTTTACTGGTCCAAGTGTGTAGTTGTCAGTTTATATAGGGTAGCAGATAAACATATAGTGGAAAATAAAGATGTGCTAAATATTCCACGGGAAGAATTGATGCAACAGAGGAATACTTTGTATGTGGGGAAAAAGAACAATATCCATTTTCATCTTAGCTAAAAGGGAGAATGATCATGCCATTAAAAGATTCCAATCGTTTCACTCATTTTTGGAACCCACTGGTTACAAATTAATCTGCTGAATTTAAGAGAGCTGTTTAAGAATTATTTCTCTCTTGGGAAATAATGTAATAACATTTACATTGAGATGTTTGCAGATTTTTTTTTTTGCTGAGGAAAATTTGCCCTGAGCTTATATCTGTTGCCAATCTGCCTCTTTTTTTACTTGAGGAAAATTAGCCCTAAGCCAATATCTGTGCCAGTCTTCCTATATTTTGTATGTGGGTCACTGCTACAGCATGGCTGACAAGTGGTGTAGGTCTGGGCCTGGGATCCGAACCTGTGAACCTGGGCCGCCACAGCGGAGCACGCCAACTTAATCACTACATCACATGGCCAGTCCCCAAGATGTTTTCAGTTTTAAAGTAATAGTTTTCTGCTTTAATGTTACAATTATTTTACCTTCTTTTTTATGACATATTTTAGTTCTACATTCTTTCATTTTATAGAAAATTCTATTTCAAAAATTCATGTTTAATATTCATACTGTGCCTGTTTTAGATCATATGTGGATATAAAATAATAGTTGGTTTCAAAAGTATTATTCTATGTAGAATTCACTAGTTTTTATTTTTTTTAATGAGCAGTGACAGCATTAATACTAGATCATTGGGAATTCTGCATATTATCCTGTGTACTCTGTAGTGATGCTTTTCAAACTGCAGGTTATGCTCCGTGAGAAAAATTGGATCATAAAATCAATGCAGTGCATCATGAGAGGCATGTATTTAAAGATGAAATAGAACAGAAGAGAAAAAGAAAAGAAATTTTCAGAATACATATAGTAAACATCAATCTATTCCATAAAATTGTGGTTCATAGTCGTAATAGTCTGAAGCCACTGCCTTTAAGCGGTAATCTGCCTTTAAATAGTACCAAAGACTTCACTAGATTTAATTAATTTAAATCATAAAATAGTGATAGTGGGGAGCTGCTTAAAAGAGCAATTAAATTTTTAATAGGAGAGATATCCACATGTAAGTTTAACCACATCCCCACTGAATATAACATCTTAAAATAATTTCTGAAATATGCATATAAACATAGTAGGAAAATATAGTAAAATGTAAATATAGGTTCATTTATGTGCTCTTTCATTCACACATGTGCTTATTCATTTGAATTCAGCTCCTAATATATGCCATCCCTCCTGAGACTCACATATAATAAGCAAATTAATGCTTTTTTTTTTTGAGGGAGATTAGCCCTGAGCTAACATCCATGCCCATCTTCCTCTACTTTATATGTGGGACGCCTGCCACAGCATGGCTTGCCAAGAGTTGCGTTGTCTGCACCGGGATCCGAACCGGTGAATCCCGGGCCACCGAAGTAGAACGTGCGCA